TTGAAATTTTAGTATGACGAGACAACTTTCCTCTTTTTTTCATGAATGTTTCACAATTTCCATCCAGTATTTTTCTAGGAAAAAAATTTAAATATAAGAGGGTGCATTTTTGCTTAATTTTGATTTTTTGCAAGTTGATTTTTATTATTGTCCGATTTTGTTATTTTCAACTGGAAAAGTTTGAAATTTTGATATGATGAGCTACTAACTGGCTTCTGTTTCTCCTGAAAGCTTCATAATTTTCCCTTCAGTAGTTTTCCAGAAAAAAATTAAAATGTAAGGTGCATTTTTGCTTAATTTACATTTTGCAACTTGTTTTCATTAACTTCCTATTTTGTTATTTTTCATTGAAACAGTTTTATATTTTAGTATGATGAGCTTCTAAGTTTCCTCTTTTTCTCCTAAAAGTTTCATAATTTTCCCTTCAGTAGTTTTCCAGGAAAAAATTAAAATGTGAAAGGGTGCATTTTTGCTTAATTGAGATTTTGCAAGTTGATTGTCATCAGTTTCCCATTTTGTTATTTCTTCCTGGAAAAGTTTGAAATTTAAGTAGGATGAGCTATTGAATTTCCTCTTTTTCTCCTGAAAGTTTCATAATTTCCCTTTCAGTAGTGTTCCAGAAAAAAATGAAAATGTGAGAAAGTCCATTTTTACTCAATTTAAATTTTGCAAGTTGATTTTCATTAATTTCCCATTTTGTTATGTTTCACTGGAAAAGTTTGAAATTTTAGTATCATGAGCTCCTTATTTTCCATTTTTTCTAGTGAAAGTTCCACAATTTTCTCTTCAGTAGTTTTCCAGAAAAAAATTAAATGTAAGAGGGTGCATTTTTGCTTAATTTTAATTTAGCAAGTTGATTTTCCTTAATTTCCCATTGCGTTATTTTTTACTGAAAAAGTTTGATACTCCAGTATGAGAAGCAACTAACTTTCCTCTTTTTTCTCCTGGAAGTTTCATAATTTTCCCTTCAGTAGTTTTCAGGAAAAAAAAAATGTGAGAGGATACATTTTTGCTTAATTGAGATTGTGCCAGTTGATTGTCATTAATTTCCGATTTTGTTAGTTCTCACTGGAAAAGTTTGAATTTCAAGTGGGAAGAGCTCTTTATTTGCGTCTTTTTCTCCTGAAAGTTTCTTAATTTTCCCTTCAGTATTTTTCAAGCGGTTTTGGTACGATCGACAGTGAAGCATATAAGCCTGGAAGAATGTTCATTTTCCCTACCTCTGGTAGGAAAGTTACTTTAACCATGTCATTGCTTTAACCCTTCTCCATTGACTTGGCATCTACCCTGTCGCTAAGCTGTATCTGATAAGTTAGATCATATACGGCATGATTTCATTTTGCCCTATTTGTAGAGTCAGCTTCAGGTGAACGAGTTAATCGCTCATGCCGCTCAGGAGTCGAAACCTCCCAGTGTTTCTGTCTGGTTTTCAGGCCGCACTTCGTTTTCTTCAGTAACGTTGGGTATACTTCCTGAAAAGTGAGTTGCCAGTAATAGCCCAGCTTGCTGCTCTTCATTCTCTGTGTAACTACCGTCTGGTTTCTAAAGTGTTAATGATCCTTGAGCTCTGTCTTTTGCCAAGGTTTTGTATAGCCTGGCTGCTTTTGCGTTTAGCTTTTTTCATTTCTTTCTCCCACTTAGTCAGCCATTCGGCCGATTCGGTGTAGCATTGTCATTCTTCGTCTCCTTTGGACTTGTTTACGGGACAGCTGCTTCCGCATGATTGCTCCCGTTGAGGAACTCAAAGATTTTTTCTAGTTCACGCATAGTCTTCCACCTAAAATCGTTTTGATTGAGGTTGCCTTGCAGGTTGCTCGTCTATTTTTCCCAATTTGTATTTCTGTGGTATCTATACGAAGAGGTTTATCCCTGCATTCCTTCTACATCAAACATTAAGATTGACGTGATCAGAGAGAGAGGCTTTAAGGTTTCATGATGTTTCCTATTTTTTTTTGGTTGCAGAAATTAATTTTTCTATAAGCTTCTTGTTTCAATATTAAGCGGTAAAGATCGAAGACAATTTGGAAGGTTTGGTAAACATTCTTGTTACATAAACGTTGTTATTTACCTATCTACCGAACGTGTGTGTCTGTCAGTGTGTCCTTTATATGAAAGTCATCATCATCATAGGCGATAGCAAGTATTATTGTCTTCTATTCTATTCTTATTGTCGTCAAAAATGTGCATTTTCCGATGACTATATAAACCAATTCTGGAGCTGCACGCTCTTCCACAGTCTTAGCACACCCAGCCTCTGGCAGCATTGTCTCTTCCTCTGTTCTCTCGCTCCTTCCCGTGGTCTCTCTTTTCTTTTCGGTTTTGTGTCTAGGTCGCTGTTCTTCAAAAGTTTGTGGTCCGCCGTGAACTACCCGACGTCATGAGGGCCTATCACCTATTACTGTATTCCTTTTACCCGTTGTGTTACTCGGAGCTGCTCAATATCGAAAGCTTAAACATTCCTTTTAAAAGTGTGTTAAGCACTGGAGTCGCTCATAGTGCATCCCCCTTTCCCCTGATGCTCCAAATTTTCGGGGGGTGCAAGAAGCACTTTTAGGTTATGTTAATATCAAAGAATAATGATAATTATCTGAATTGTGTGTTTTGAAGTGACTCCGAGGAGCTCTAGTGCGACTCGTTCGGTGTAACTCGAAGTATAAAACTTTGCCATATTCTCCTTAAGGAAATCTTTGTAGAGTTTTTGTTGACCTTCTCGATTTCGTTTTCGGGCATGCGTACGAGGTGACCTATCCAGCGAAGTCGGTGCTTAATGATGAGGGCTTCCATTCTAGTTGTTCTGGCCTCCTCTAAAACACTGATGTTCGTTTTGTCTTGCCATTTGATCCGTAGGATCCTTCTTAGGCATCATTGGTGGTATTTTTCTAGGCTTTTTATGTGTCTTCTGTAGGTGGTCCATGTTTGTTTCGCAGCCATATATAAGTGTTGATATTCATCATAGGCGATCACTCGATGATTATCTTCTATTCTATTCCTAATAGGTCTGTTCGCACAGAAATCACAAACCACTCAGAGTGAATTTCATTGGTTGAAACTAGTTTCCTGACTGTTTTCAACCAATGAAATTCGCTCTGACTGGTTTGTGATTTCTGTGCGAACAGACCTAATGTCGTCGATTGTGCGTTTTCTGATGGCTATATGTGAACCAATGCTGGAGCCGCACACTGTTCCACAGCCTTGACACACCCAGTCTCTGCCAGCATTAACTCTTCCTCTGTTCTCTCGCTGCTTCCTGCGGTCCCTCTTTTCGGTCTCGTGTGTGCATCACTGTTTTTCGAAAGTTTGTGGTCCGTCGTGGACTACTGGACGCCATATGAATACCTATCATTTACCGTCGTTTTCCAGTTGCTGGTATCGATGCGGCACTTTGCCATATTTTTCTTTAGAATACCTTTGTAGCGTTTTTGTTGACCTCCTTGATTTCGTTTTCCCTCTTTCAGTTGATTGATGTGATTGCGGACGAGGTGACCTGCCCAGCGAATATCCTTCTTAGGCATCGCTGTTGTTATTTTTCTAGGCTTTTGGGGTCTGTGGGTGGTCCATGTTTTGCAGCCATGTGTAAGTGTTGATATTACAACTGCATTGAAGATGAGAAGTTTGGGCTCAGCGCTGATATCGTGATTGTTGAAGACTCTCGCTGAAAGTCGCTTGAATGCCGGGCTATAGCACATTTCAAGCGATGCTGGATTTCAGCGGCAATGATGGCCATTTATAGTTATATTTGGGTCTTGGGGATTAGTGCCCGGTGCGGGTTGGTGCAGAATCTGCATCTTGTTAAAGTTGACCTCTGGGGTGATTCTCCTGGATTTATGGTTTAATGCATTGATAATTTCCTGAAGATCTTCCACTGTATTGGCTATCACGAGGTTGTTATCCGCATATTGAAGTTTAATTATCGATGTCGTCGATACATTCTGATACCAATTTTTTCATTGACTTAATCAGATGTTCAACTAAATTATCTGATGAAGACTGTGTTTCAATGATGTATTACTAATAATATGTTCCAATTTCCAATGATACTGTTACTAAAATGAGTTTCGAAATGTGTGGATAGTGGATACTGTTCAGAAACTTCCATTTTCCTTTGCAGTTTTAAATTATGCCGATTTCTTGCATACACATTATCTCATAGTTTGTTTATAATAGACGCAAAATAAACAAATTCGAGTACAGATTAGAATGATTTAGGCGTAAAATACTATTACGTTATCAAACGCAAACAATAAAATATGGTTGTGTTATAGAAAGGTTGTAACGGTACAAAAAATACCGGCCAAGGAATTTTTTTTCAACTTGAAACACTTTTAGCTAGGTCTAAACTTCTGAACTGAAGCAACAAACTATGGACTAACTCGCTCTAACCGATCATAGATGATGGTAGTTATTTTCATTTCAAATTCATACATCCATATACGAAAGCGTTATTAACGTCATCTGACCCTTATCGTGCCTACCCACTTTGAAGTCCCCATCTCTTATGATTAATAAATTATTATTTTTAAGTGAAAACATATGAACGTGGATGACAATACAGACTTCAAACTTGCCAGTTGTAATCAGGGCTTTTAATGGGTTAAACCTATTACTCGAAACCCCCATTCCATTCAATATTTTGGGGGTGAATAATTGAAAATTTCCGCAACAATTTTAAACCGCAAAACACAAATTGACGAATCTGAACGTATTTTTTTTATGGGTTTAATTTTAGTTCGGATATGTGTACATATTTCAAATTCCGTGATGTGTGGTACAAGTTCATTGATGTCTGATTTCCGTATTTTCCACATCAAGTTTAAATAAACGGAACAAGTTTGTGGCGAGTATATACCTACATCTGGTGTGGATAAATCTGGATTATAATGAATATGAACGTGTTCATCTCCTTAATTGTTTTGCGTGAATATTTTCGTGAAACTACCTACTTGATATACTTTTACCGAAATCTATCAAAAACTTTAAACAAACAATCAAAAATAACTTACCGAATGAGATCCCAAATCGGAAAATTCCTCAATGAAACTTTTCTCATCATCCTCCAAGTGGAATCCATCATTTCTGCTAACATCAGAGTCATCTAGGTGGTACCCATTCAAGTCTTTGTATTTACCATGTGATGAACTACTTCTGCAGAACCGGTAGCCGGTCAAATCGTTTTCGCTAAAGTCGCTTGAGTTATGATTAGCTAGTAGCTCAGACAAATCAGATCTTATGGCTTCGTTGAGTTTTATTAATATTTGCAGATTCAACTCGATGTCTTCTGGATCAGAATTTTCATTGTCCTGGTATAGTTTGCCATCCGTTTTTCTAATTGAATTGTTGATTTGGTTTTCTTCTTCGATTTTCGGGAGCCCGATTGATAATGGCTTTTCCGACTTTTTGATAGGCGAGACATGATGGTTTTCAAAGGTTTTATTTATGTCACTCTGGAAATAATGAATATTCATGTTAGATATCGGTTTTAACTAACTTTAACTTTAACTAAACTAACCATCACCACAGGAAAATAAACTAACTATAACTTTAATTAAACTAACCATCACCACAGAAAAATATAATTAATTGGGGGAAGGTCCTCGCAATGCGATTTTTTCATATGGGCGGTATTTTTCTGCGATTATCTCTCAAATTTTCCATTTTTAGGAGGAATGATCAAGAAGATTGTAACTTTTTTTGTAAGGAACCCTTCCAGAAAAAAAGCCAAAAAAATTTTAACTTCACTCGGTTTATTTGGTATTAGTAGGTACCTGAGGGGCAGAGTTGTCCAAGCAACATTTTTAAAAATACTAGTCCGGTGGATTCATTTCATTCTTGAAAATTAATTTTTAAAGATATTATTGTCACCATAAAAAAATCGCAAGAGGGGTTGACCGTTATTACGAAAGAGCACATAAAAATCCGGCATTGTTTTTTTCAATTACCGGCTTTTTTTGTACTCTATTCTATGAGCCTACATATCTAGTTTCAGTATCCCGAAAATGATTTTTCTCTAATCTGACAGCTTAATCTAGAATGTACGCCATAACCAGCCCGTAAAGTATATAGGGTTAACAATTAGATTTAATTTTTTTTACCCCTTCTGTTGAAGTTTCTGGCTGCTTGCCTTCGGGTAGCACCTATAAAGAAATAATACAAAAAAAAAAAATATAGATATCTTTTTCAAATTACATCGTGTGTAGTCTTTCGATTGCAAGGACAAAAACAAATATGAGAATATTACATATCGTGAAATAAGATTAAAGGAAAAACTGAAATTGTGAACAACAGAAAACATAAACGTATTACGAATTGTTGACAGTCTAATTCCCAAATCCCAATCTAATTCAAAAATGACCGCAGGAGTTTATGCTCTAGAAAAAGTTTGCTCCTATATAAAGAGGTGAGTGAATTTTTTCAGATTCATTTCCGAGATACTTCTTGTATGGTCCAGAAATCAGTATGTTTCCATTTTTAAGTATTTTGCTGTTTGTTTTCTTAAGTATTGTTCATGTAAGTAACACTTGATTTTTGGTTTATCAATTTGAGAAAAATTGTTCAAATTGGTAAGTTTTTTTACAAAATTATTATATTTGAGCTCTAAAGAATATAGGGCTCACCGATCTATGAATAAACTTAAAAATAATTTATAATATCCAAGTATTCCTAATTAACCAGAACTTAAGTATATGTCCTAACTAAATACCTACTGTTGGTATCTATGGCACTCACAGAAAAGGAGATAATTTTTGTAGGAATTTAATTATAACCGATAGGGACTAGAATATTTAAAAACTAACATCTGCTATATATTGGTATTACTTGGGTAAAATAAACTCAAATAATATCAAAATTTGAAAAATGGAAATGTTTTCTTTATAATTGTTTAAATAAGTAGGTACTTGTTTAATGGGTTTTTTATAAAAAAAAAAATGTTGAGCAACTTTTTAATTTTTTCACTTCCTTATGAGAGGAACTAGGTAATGAAAATTTCAGACCCAGACACAGTCGAACATTAGTCGCTATGTATTATTTTATTTTAACCTGATGCATTAAATATTAGCAATTTTATCCTTCAATAGAAATTAACCATCTTTTACATAAAATTCATACTTCTACTTTTTTGCTCCTACTTTTTCAATAATGATAAAAAATATGAACAACCCAACATCATAAACTCACCAGAAGCCCTGAAGAAGGAGAAAAAAAGCTCCGAAAGGTTTTGCAAAGAAGTAAAAATGAAAAAATTAACTTGACCGTTTTCCAATTATTCAAACCCTATTAATTATCAACGGTCGTTGAACCTAAACATATTTACATAAAAGATTATTTTTGGAAATGACGGAAATAAAAAAACAAAAAACTTCAAGGACAGAAATAAATAATTTCAGTATTGTTTATTCATAGGTATTTATTATCTCTAGAACATAATTCAAAATAATTAGTACAGGTTTTTTACCTTCTTCAATTTAACGTCAATTTTATCCTTCAATAATATCTAATAATTTTAATCAAAATAATAAATTTACCATTATTTACATTATGGTGGTGATTCTATGTTAGAAAAATGAACTATTTGACATAGTATACACATTCATTAAACATTGGGAATCAGCATCCCCAAAAACCCCTTAATCCATATTTCTAAAATCTCAAGAGATGATGATTTTAGCAAAAAATATATATATATATATATAAATAGTGTAGGTATATATATATATATATATATATATATATATATATATATATATATATATATATATATATATATATATATATATATATATATATATATATATATTTTAAATTACTTTTTCTAATAAGCTGTTTATTTCTAATTAGAAGGTAGTAATGTTGGAAATACAATATTCTGAAATAATATCATCTGATGTAATTTGGTTATCACAATTAGAAATAAACAACTTATTAGAAAAAGTGAATTAAAATATTTTTTTTTTGCTCTTGAGATTTTGAAAATATGAATTGACAGGTTTTTGGTGATGCTGAATCTTAATCTGATACAAAAAATTATTCAAAATAAGCCCTAATATCTTTTTCTCAAAGAAACAACCCTTTTATTCTCCAACAATGCACGCCAATGGTAAATAAAAATGTTTACTATGTCAAATAGTTCATTTTTTTAACATACAATCACCACCAAAACTTGAATAAAATCGCATTATCGATGACTGAGATATCGGGGTGTATTCGGGAAAAACGGGACACACTGTATACAAGGTGTCCGGATATTCGACCGACGACGCATGAGAGGTGACAGACTTCGACATTTCATAAAAATTGAGTTAGAAGCATGCAGTCTCAAAGTGCTTAATTTTCAAAACAGTCATAGTTTTACTCTTATTTTGAATTTTTGTCAATTATTCCTCAATAAAACGACACCGATCCAAACTTACGTAGAGAGGGGTTTGTTAAGGCGAGAAATACAAATCCATTCACGGTTTTGATGAATTTGTATTTCTCGTCTTAACAAACCCCCCGATACGTAATTTGAATCGCTGTGTCGGTTTATTGAGGAATAATTGACAAAAATCGAAAATAAAACATTGACACCCCTACCCTGTATCTTGAAAAATAAGGTCTTTTAGGCTGCATGTTCCTATCTCAATTTTTATGGAAATGCGAGGTTTTTCACTTGTCAAGCGTTGTCGGTCTAATATCCTAGCTGACACCCTATATACCTTTTATTATGGCCCTGAAAAAGGAGAGAAAAAAAGCTCCGAAAGATGGTATATTGTCAAAGAGTAAAAATACAAAAATCAACAACACCTATGTATTATTTCAATTTAAAAAGTATTAATTACTCAGTTAACTGACACATTATTTATTCCCAGAGATGTGTGATTTTGAAAGCTTTTAGACAATGTCAAAACAAAACCGTCCGGTAATTAATTCCTATTGAAGTTTGTAAAAGAATCCTAAACTAAAGTTTCTTAAACCTTAAACCAACGCTTCAACCCAATTTTAAGTCGAGACCTATTGTCAGCTGCATAAAGTTCAATGATTAAAACCACCCAATTCCTATAGAAATACAATCAAACTTGATCTACCAAGTACCATGCCCATTAAATCTTACATTGGCTAAATAAAACAATATTTACTCAATAGAACAGTATGGACACTAAATTTGTCAGATTGCACGAGAATTATTGTGTTCGAATGAGAATTATCCATGTTTTTTTTTTCTATTTGAGAAAATTGAAATATTGCAACGAAAAGTTGCACAGACTTGGTAAGTGTTTTCATGGCACCTTACTAATGATTTTTCTTTTCTGCAACTTACTATAATCAAACTGAAATATATAAAGCCCTTTAACATGAAATTGAATGAAAATTATCGGGCTAGGGTTTGTTTCAATCTCGATGTCATATTGTCGACGTTAAACTTGAGATTTTCAAAGGTTCCTACCCTATTGATGAATTGTGAGCAGCAACAAAAATAACAAATTCATCCGCTGTCTTAAGAATAATTGATCTTTGATCTAAATTTAATGCAAATATTTAATTTTTTAGTGTCAAGATCCTCGAAAGAGACTAATCATAAATGCCATGGATTATCCAAAAGATGACGAGATAGCTTGCAATCTGAAACGATCCCCAAGCCAAGAAGACATGGGTCCCTTCTGGGCTAACAGAGGCAAAAAAGACCCAACATATACGCAAGAAAGGCTTTATGTGGAGGAGCCGCGATGGTTTATGGTGAGAAAAAACGGAGACGACGAACCATTTTTCAATTCCAGAGGAAAAAAGCCACTTTATTGGAGATCTTTCAAATATACTTATGACAATTCTTATAGATCGCGAAGAGATAGAAGGGATTTTGTAAATGATATGGATATCGATCCGGCATTTTTTGCTGCTAGAGGCAAAAAAGCTATTGCGAAATTTTAAATATTTATTTAATATGCAATAATAATTGTAATATCGTACGCCCAGTATAGTAGAAGAAGTAGATGCAATAAAAGAAGTTATATATTTTTGCTAGAGTTTTTGTATGTAACTTAAATCCTCATCTCTATCATCATTTGATACTATTCCTTTGGCTAAACCCGAGTTCTAATTTATTTTCTACATCTGTCTACTAAATGAATTATACGTAAACAAATCCATTGATTGAAATAATAATCTAAATAGCAAAACGGTGAACTAATTGCACCATTTAAAGTAAAACTCTCGTTATTGCCTTGCAGGAACGTAGTTAATGTGATACTAGTTTTTTTTTTCACTTCTATCGAGACCGGGTGTTTTCAAGAGACATCACATTTCTATTATCGACATGCAAGCCAATTATGAATTCAATCTGACACAATTACTATTTATTGCTGTTTTCCCTTGTTTTTGTCTGCTGTTTTATTGGAACGATTATTTTTTATTTTTCCATTGATGGATTTAAAATCAGTAGGTCGAGAACCAAGCCATAAACTAAATAAACTCTCTTACTTTGGTTGTAGAAAGGACATATTAAATTTCAAAATCATTAACAATTTTATTGAATATGCGTTTTATATTGTACCTATAAGGTACATCATTTAAGGTCACCACACGATATTTTTGCAGTACCTAACTTTCAGCTGAAAATGCATTATGTGAAGTTGGGGTTTTATTTATAGTACCTACACTCGATCGACTTACGAATGGAGAACCATACGAAAATATACGAAAATGTATGATTATTCTGAAACTGTACATAGGAAACTGTATGATCATTCAAAAACTGTACATAGGATTGAATTCATACTAACATGAAAAGGTTGAGGGGGTAGTCAGAAACTGCAAAATACCAGTGGCGTACCGGGTGATTGTCTATATTTTGCACCCACACCTATCTCACCTGTTTGAAGAGATACCCAGAAATATCAACTGTGAAAGTTGTAGGTGATATCAGAAAGATTTCAATGATGTTAGTTGCAAATATACAGGGTATATCACAAAAGTGTGGCGAAGCAAAGTTAAACTTTTCTAAATGGAAAACCCCGTTTATTATTGTCGTATTGGATTAGCCTTTCAAACCTGATTTTAAACATAAGTACTAGGTTTTTTAGGTTTATTCCTCATAGTCCAGCCTCTGAATATCCCATTTTGAAGAAATAATATGGATTTTTTACACGAATGATTACCTTTATATTTTGCTGGTGGTCTCTATACTTCACCTTTTTCAATAAAAATGCAATTATTCCATCCCTTTTTGTCCTATTTTCTCCTGGACTATTAGGAATAAACCTTAAAAAAACCCTGTATATTTGGAATAAGGTTTGAAAGGCTAATCCAATGGGACAATAATATACGGGGTTTTCCATTCAAAAAAGTATAACTTTGCTTTGCCACACTTTTGTGACACACCCTGTATACTTGTAACCAACATCATTGAAAACTTTCTGATATTACCTACAACTTTCACATTTGACATTTCTGGGTATCTCTTCAAACAGGTGAGATAGGTGTGGGTGCAAAATATAGACAATCACCCGGTACACTCGATCGACCTACGAATGGAGAACCATAAGAAAACATACAAAACTGTATGATTATTCAAAAACTGTACATAGGAAACTGTATGATTATTCAAAAACTGTACATAGGATTGAATTCATACTAACATGGAAAGGTTGAGGGGGTAGTCAGAAACAGAAAAATACCAGTGGCGTACCTACCTAAAAAATCACACAAAAAATCCATGAGTTTTTCTACTTAAATATCATTGAAACGCGCCAGACGATGACGTTTAGGCATTATACCAATCAAACTTGAGAATAGAGCTCCACCGACAAAGCGCAAATAACTGTTGCGGTTGCTGCTGGTTAAAGGTTTGATGCGCTGTTGTCAGTGGTGACTGAATGTAGTGCGACGTGAGAAAAAAAAATTGAAACTGAATAAGAAAAATAAGTTTAAATTCTGTTAATGATAACTCAAAAAACTCGCTTCCATTGTTGGAGGCCAGAGTGGACAACACTGTCAAATTTCCAATTTTGACATGTGGGACATAAAATGCGAGAAGATGCAATCAGACAACTAAAAAACAATAAGTCAGCTGGTACTGACGGCATTCCGGCTGAATTTTTCAAAAAAGGAGTCTCCACACTAAGTGCCCAAACCCACATCCTAATAAGTAAAATATGTATAACTGAGACCATACTTGTCGAAATTAGAGATGCCTCCATAGTAGCCATTTTCAAAAAGGAAAACAAGGCTCAATGTAGAAACTACGGAGGAATATCTTTACTTTCTGTTGCCGAAAAGATACTTGCCAGGATATTATCAAATCGTCTAATCCCAACTGCCGAACAGAACCTCCCAGAGACACAGTGTGGCTTTAGACCCAACCGAGGTACAGCTGACCTGATTTTCAATGCAAGACAAATGCGAGAGAAATCCAGAGAACAAAATCGCTCTCTATACATGACCTTCATAGATTTAGTGAGAGCATTTGATTCGGGTAACACAGAAGTTCTTTGGAAGATATTGGCGAAGGTTGGGCGTCCGCAATAATATGGATGCAACCGTCCTAAGCAACGCTGGACAAAGAAAGTATTTTCAAATAAATAAAGGCGTTAAACAGGGCTAAGTTATTGCAGCCACTTCATTTTCTCTGTTTATAAGATCTATGCTTCACCTTTTCGAGGTTTACCTACCGGCAGGAATGGAAATCGGAAATCCGTTACAAACTTGATGGCGGCTTATTCAACCTGAATAGATTACGATCCAACACGAAATTATCGACGAAATCGATAATTAAACTTCAATATGCGGATGATAACGTCGTGATGGCCAATAAAGAGGAAGATCTTCAGGCAATTATCAATGCATTCAAACAAGCATACAGGAGAATCGGCCTAGAGGTCAACTTCAACAAGACGCAGATTATGCACCAACCTGCACCGGCCACTAATCCCCAAGCCCCAAATATAACTATAGATGACCATTCTTTGCAGAACGTAGAAGACTACGCATACCTTAGGAGCCACCTGTTAGCGAGTGAAACCATTGACGCTGAAATCCAAAGTCGCTTGAAGTGTGCTATATAGAGGCGTTCGGGCGACTTCTAGAGGGAGTCTTCAACAATCATAACATCAGCGCTGGGACCAAACTTCGCGTCTACAATGCAGTTGTAATACTAACACTTACAATATATGGCTGCGAAACATGGACCACCTACAGAAGACACATAAAAAGCCTAGAAAAATACCAACAGCGCTGCCTAAGAAGAATACTACGGATTAAAGGGCAGGACCGACGAACAAATATTATAGTGTTTTAGAGGAAGCGAAGACAACTAGCATAAAAGCCCTCATCATTAAGCATCAACTTCGCTGGACGGGTCACGTCGTCCGCATGCTCGCAAACGAAATCAAGGAGGTCAACAAAAACGCCAACCATGTAAACAACTATCTTCACGTGATAACTATTGTCAGGTATTGTCTCTCTACAACTACAAATTCTACAAGCACCATATTAAGGTGGAGCTAGTTGACACTAGAATCCAATAATGATTCTTAGACATTTAATAAGCGTCAGGGCCAATAAAATGAGGCTCGACTTGCCACTACTACAAATTTTTAAATATTAGATTGGATGTGAAAAATGATAGTAGGTAGTTAGTTTATGATTCAACTTTTTCAAATAGTCGTAATGTAATAGGAACCTGTATAGTAATTGGGATGGATATCCCAATCCTTAACGACGTACTACGAAGTACCTATATTCTGATTAAACCGTAAAAACTCTTACAATTAATTTGTCTACAATGTGAAAGCAACACAAGCGAAACAATAGATCAAAATTAAGGCGCAATCGAACCGATGCAATCTGTTATTCCGCCGAAATAAATTGTTTTAAGCGTGGTCTTTGGCCTAGTTTGAAGGTTTTTTATAATTCTTAATGGCCGCATAAGATTATTTTTATGCCACTTTCTGTTTTGTGATTAGCGTTACACGTCACCTTTACAATTTTTTTATCATTAGATTCGGAGATAATCATCAGCAATTATTCCTCTTTGTAGATTTGGGTTTTATCGTTTGGATCTTGCAGAGTCGGATTTTAATGAAATCTGATGTATAATTGTTAGCATCATTAGAAACAAAGGGTGAGCACTTTCGATTTTTGAAACCGTTCAAAATTTAGAGACTCGTCTTGTACAATCGTATAATAAATTAAAAACCATTAAAAAAGGCACTCAACTAAAAATATATAATTAGTATTAGGAACGGTCTTCACAATGTGAGACATAACTTTTAAAAAATTAACTTTTATCAATTTGATGAATTTTGTTAATTAAGAAAAGTTGAAAATTATTTTAATTGCTTGATATTGGTAAGTTAGTGCCTAATAAAAATTAATGAACTTTTAGAATTCAGAATATTTTAACTATTTTTTATGTGGCCGCTAACGATATTGGCCTTTTCTTTATGTGCTAGGAGACTTGATTTTTATGTCTATTATCGTTTAAGAAAAGATTAATTTTGGGAAGTTTGGGGAGAAACCGAGAAATTTGGTTTTTTACTACTACAAAATCTAATTACATATTTAATGTTAAAACTAAAATTCTCTCTGTTTTATTCAAATTTGATCTCTTATATCCATCATATTAATGGATGCACTTCTGAACTCTGAAGTGAAACTTCTTAGGCGTCACGGACAAATTTCGTTACTCGAGAGAGAAGAAAGATACGATAACGTAAACAGACAGAGAAAGACAGCCATTGATTGACACAAACTAAGGATTATAAGCGCAGAGAGGATTGCCTATTATTGACAAGCGGCGGTACCCTTGCGACGTCACTACAGATCCGCGTTTTCCTTTTGGTATACTATTATCATTGTGTTTTATGATTATTTTCGTTATTCATACAAAAAAAACCATAGCAAGTTTTTTTTTTGATCATATCTGTGAGCCATCATTATGTAAGAATATTAAATTTTTTAAAATATTATCAAAAATGATATTAGAGACG